ACAATTTCAGATCCTTCACTTTTAAGCGCTCTTCAACATTCCCTCTCATCGACTTCTTAGAGTGGCGTATGTTAAATCCAACTTGAACTTCAGCTTCAGTCCTGTTTTGATGTTAGAGTCGTTCTGCTCTCGCATTTTATCCGTAGATCCAATAGGGAACACAGTACCGTCGGTAAATTAAAGGCAATTTAATTATTCCCAGTACCTGATTTTCCACATTGACTTTCTTCAAAGCCCCTTCTGGGATTGTAGTGAATAACCTCAGTGACACTGTATGAAAGTATTGGGCATTTGTAAAAGATGTTCTTAGAACCTTGCGAGGATTTCCACGAGATATTGCAATCCGGTAAATCATGACGATGAGGTTGATGCAACTTTTCTCGATCCTCTGACTTCTCAGGGCATCCAATACACATTGGGTGTAGACTCGTGGAAGGACCTCACAAAACTACAGAACCGCAGGCAGAGAGAAACTCATGTTTGTTGCTGATTTTGAGCTCTGACCCGGTTCAGTGGGAATGTGAAATGAACAGCTAAACCACAGATTTTGCCACCGAATGTCCACTCAACGAACAACGTGATGGTACAGATGACGTAAAAGAGGAACAAAGTGGTAAAGCGTTTCAGGAGATTGACCAGCTGAAATATCTCGGCTTTATAACATCCAGGATAATCAGAGTCAGCCAGAGTTAAACGGTAGAATCGCACCAGCTTCTAGATACCTGACCAATATTCGACAATCTGTGTGTATCTGCCTTTGCGTTAGCTTTTACGCATAATGAGGGTTAAACGGCACGGGTCGTAATGAACTTATTCTGTTCCCTTCCAGGGACAAAGAGGTCAGCTCTGTTACACACGCTGGTTGAGCAGAAACAATTTGCTCCGGCCGTAAGCTTCTCGTGTGGAAGCCGAAAAACGGCTGGTGCCGGCGAACATGCAATAAAGTCGATGTTAGAATATTTACTTCTACCAGGCAGTAACCACCGTTGTAAAACAGAGTATAGCGTACATCACAAGCCAGAGAAGTAATTTTCATGCAGACAGCTGAAGGTGACGATCCCAACAACAAACAATTAGTGACATACAACGAAGTTCACAAGGCTTCATAAGTAGTTCTTAAATATAAAAACGTGGAACTCTGATTTGCTTTTAAACATCATACGAAAATTGGACCGTGATAACTGACATTTTAATTTAAGGCACCAATTGAATTCGAGGATCATAAAAATGTTATGATATAAAGCAGAAGTTGCATTACCTGCCAGTTGTTCTTCCATCTTCACAATCTTCTGCCAAACCTTAAACGGGGTTCGTTAGCACATTGACCAGTACGTAGCGAAGTTCACTGATGCACTTGCCTAACGTTTTCTAATGTCTTCTTCAGCGTATATTGTTCAGTTGGAGTTTTTTTTACAATCGCTACCATTCCGTTATTCTGAGTCCAACGTCTCTTATGGCATGAAATATAAACTATAGCTGGATGCTTCATTGATTGGTCATTTTTTGAGTAACTGCCTATGATTATGACACAATTTTTAGCATATGCCCTAAATGGAATCATCCAGCCTTATTAGAGAAGTATTCTACTGTCAAACAGCTGTTGCGAATATTCGCTCGCGACCATCAAACAACATCTATGAAGTCACTGCACTTTATTTCACAACTATAATACAACGTAAGTTCGTCGCACTTAAAAACAAACCGAGCAACAATTAAATCGATGTTCATGCGCTGACAAGGGTGTGCGCCCAAAACAGACGACCGAGGACCAAAAGCGAAAAACGAAAATAACTACAGCAAGACAAAATGCGATGTGCACATTTCAGAAAATTACTGGAAGGCGATGTTCAAATACGTTGGTAAACTTCATCGTTACATCGCACAATTAAGCCGAACAGAATCGAGGAGAGTCGAAAGCCAATGGAGTAGGCGACAGCGTTTCGAACAGCAGCAGGAATAATGGCATTGGCTTCGACGACCCCGTTTCGACACACGAAACTTCTTTGTAGGTGTTTAACGATACAACGAAAATAAATGAATGTGATTCGCATCGCACATACAAACATATGTCATAAGTCGCTTAAAGCATAAACGAATGAAAAAAAATAAGAATTGGGGCACTGAAGAGAAGAGAACATCGAACACCGAAATATGAGAAGAACATTAAAGACACGAGTAACGAAAGTTTCGTTCAATGTGATTGCCACTGGTTTGAGAAATCTTGAGCTTGAAACAAACGAATCAACCAACGAAGCGCGTTCTGTGATAGGGTGGTCGTTGATACCGTTTCGAGTATCGCAAAAAAGATAGTAGGAGCAATTGTACAGAAAGAATCCATGGACGTCTTTACATCACTAACGGTACATATATCGTCAAACCTGTCGAAAATAACTTTGGTACGAAAAATTGGCCCGAAAAATTTTCTCATCAACGGCCCATTCATAAAATAATAATCGCAAAAAATATCGCAGACAACACTTTTTACAATTGACTATCACTGTAGATATAACAAGACACAAAAGTTAAAGAACCTGAACTGTGTTGGGGAATTGATCGACCCGAGAGACGAGAAGAGTAGACAAAAATGTACATGTCAAGTTTGTGCATGATGATTATGTAACAACAAGGAAGGTGGACAGGTGGTTGAGGTTGCTTCCTCACCGATCGTGAACGAAACGTCGTCTGTTGTTCGAACTAGTTGACTTTCAGCGGCGGTGGAGACAGCAACCGACGACGGTCACTCCCGCTTAGCTGACGCCGACCATCGCGTCCAGCGGAGAACCGTTGAAATTAGTCGCCATTAGCATGCTGGACAGACCGCCTTCGAACATCAAGCGTTCTGCTAGAGCTTTACACTGCTGATTCAGTGGCTCTTCTGCGAACTCCATTTCAGGAGCAGAAGAATATGACAGGTTGTGGCCGGCAGTGGCGGCGGAGGAAGGAGTGAAGAGATTTGACGGGGGAGGAGGAGGGGTGATTGGGGAATGGACAGGAGAAAAAGGAGCATCTTGGAAAAGGCAGCGTCCCCGTATTTTTACCGGAGTTGATGCGTAACGACCGACGACGAGATCTTCTGACCAACCGCTGTATGGCAGACCAGTTTTTGGCGAGTCGGCAGCAGCGGCAGCAGCGAACGACGAGTACAGCTCGTCAGGAGTAGAAGCGGTGGATAACGGCGAACGCTTGATGTTCAGCATAAGGCCATGGTTGCGGTTAATGATGACAGGTGATGCCTGACGCATACGGTCGACGACCATCATTTGCTGACGGTGTTGGTGGTGTTGCAGCTGTTGAGGTTGTTGCAATGAACACGGTGGTATCGGAGGACGCGAGTGCGAAGGCGACGTACGGGCAGCGACGGTGTTTCGAGGTTCCCCCGAATACACCATGCCGATGCTGCCGTCTTCGCCGAAGCGGACGCTCACTTCGCCAGGGTCGACCCAGATGGTTAGTTCGGGCGGGAAGGCCATTCGCAGTTGGTCAAGGGGCACGTTGCACTGACCGGCTGCCTTCAACACCAGTGGATCCATCTTTCCATTGATGCGGATGCAACGGTAAGCGGAGCCGCGTAGCGGCTCGGTC